AAGCATGTACACTAGATTCCTGCACCAGTTAAACCAGTTGAAATGTAAACAGTGTTTATTTATAGAGCTGTTCGTCACTTCTGTAAAAATTTCAACTGTCCCTTTCACAGATGCTTGGAGCAAATATGCAGCTGTTTGCAAACGGATGTTATCACTTTATGTACAACCCCCAAGACATTGAAATGCTAAAATATAATGCAGGTATAAAATATATCCATATATTATATGAAACCCTTATTGTTGTTGTGCTTGCTTAGCACCATCTATTCCTACCTGTAGCCGCTTACTGCTCAAACCCCCAAAATCATTGTGTGTGGAGTACCTTAACAATTCTATTGCGAGGTGATTGTGCAGGATACTGCTTTAGTTGTAGTACTACGGCTCATTATATACTTTGCTCTCGTTTGTATTTTTCACTGGCATTTGTTTTCATGAGACTTTTTAGAGCAGGGATCATCATTACCATGTTGTTTTTAAATGTGTCTGCATGTCTTACATCCAGAATTGCTTCTTAAAATATCAAAATCCTCACTTGGGTGTTTTTCCTTTAAGGTAAACCAGTTCTAATCTTTCAGTGGCAGCTTCTTCTAATTAATAATTCGTAGCATAATTACCTGTTTTAATCCTTTCTGGGAGTTAATTAAACAGGCTCCTTTATCTGTAGTTCCATAAAACTACAATTTCACTCTAAATCTTAGTGTTTACCACGTCTCCTTTAAAGACTCAATTTGGACAGCTAATAATGCCATCCATTCATTTATCCACTTCAGGGTTGCAGGGGGTTCTGCACCTTTACAGAGTGAGATGCATGCAGCACCACTTTATTTTTTATTTTTTACTTTGTTTAAAATGTGTGGAGAGATCAGAATGATCTTTAACTGACAGCTTTTTCCCCCCTTCCCTTGCATCCTCTTCTTTTAACTGCCTGACAATGGCAGTAGAGGACCTTGCAGAGTATAGTTTCTTTAGTCAAAGGAAATGGCAGAGGAGTGGAGCATGGCGAGAGGAGGTGTGCATATGTCAGAGAGGGGCTGGGTAGTGCTGAGAGGAGGAGGAGGTGGGATGCATGAAAGAGAGTGAAAAGCAGGGAAAGGGGAGGGGACTGTGCTCTCATTCACATTGGTGGCATTTGCCTTGAGAATGAGCGGTTTCTTTTTTGGGGAAGGGGGGTTTTAGAGAAGTTTTTTCCCTCTCAGGAGGGTTGGTCAGAGACAGAGAAACAGGAACGGAGTGAGACACGAAGGGGCAGGAGGCTGGATGATCAGGAGCTGGTCAGACATTAGAGCAGCTATGCAAGGAACAAACTGGGGTAAGAGACTCGCAGGAAAAAACCGTTGGAGAAACAGGAAGTTACCTTTTAATTACCTGGCCATTGAAAGTGATGGACGGTGTTTGACATTCACAGTGGGAGTCCCACTGTGACTGAAAGTTACAGAGGATTATTGTACATTAAGGTAAAAAGAGAAGAATTTTTACATTTGTGTAAAGAAATGTAAACAATTAGTTGATTACTCTGTTAGCTTATCAGCATGCACTTATTGTTTTCCTAATCAGTATGCCATGTAAATTTTTATAATCTCCTTAAAGTAAGAATTAAATATCTTTAGGTTTAGACTCCCAATCAGTCTAAATAAGCAGAAATTGTTAAACATCAGTATTGTTTTTAATAACTGTAAGA